TAAGTTCAAAAAATATGAACAGGAACATAACACCAAGTATACATGTTGTGTCCAAATATATTTATAACTGATTTAGACCAACTGACATTAACTGAGATTTTACAATGTATTCATCTCAATACATATGGATTCGTTGGGGGCCATAAAAGATAGATATTGCCAAATTACCTGTGGGGCCGTATTAAACCAGAACATGGGCCGCAATTGGCCCGCGGGCCGGACTTTGGACATGCCTGGTATATAACATGCTGGCATTACATTTATATTTATTCACTGATGACTGGCTAATACTTTCATTGTCCCAAAATACATCTTCCCAGGATGTAACACATGCACATTGTTCATTATGCAAAAACGCATGTTACATTTGTTCCAAACACATGTTCCCAAGGATGTGTCCATACTATACGGTTCTGTGATGATAGGCAGGGATAAACATACCCATTTCTGAGGGCTCCAATCCTTATACCCTCGAGTTTCCAATAATTTCTGCTCTTTTCCAGCCCACTGACCTATAAACCAGGGTAACCAAAAAGATCCTATTGTCAATTTTTGGAGTGGGTTTACTTTCCATGTTTCTGTCTCCACAGACTGTTGGTGAGCAATTTTAATAATGATCTCTCCTGTTAATAAATCAGGCTGAACCATACTAGAGACAAATTGTATCCATTCATATTTAAATGTATTGAACAATGACCTTTTTCATTATTGCAAAAGATGTGCCAATACTGTAATATTTCCATATATTACCCAATACATTTCATATTCAAGGGATGCGAAGCTAAGACTCTGTATTTCAGAGCATCCTGGTGCTAAGGTAGTTTAGATAGTGTCCTCAAAGGAACCTTCCATTTTAACTCTTACTTTCCTGTGATTTTGTATTTCTGTAATATTTGTAAAATGAACCTTAAGTTCCATTTCACTTTCCCAGGCTTACCTACTAGTCTTTCCTAGTTTTAAAATTCAGCTTGTGTTTTTACACCATTTCACGAGGATTACTGGATTATAATAGGTCACCCATGACTGATTGACAGTAAAAACTTAAAAAACAACAAATGGTATGGTAGCACTTTATAGACTAACAAAACATGCAGATGGTATCATGAGCTTTCATAAGCACAGCCCACTTCTTCAGATGACCAGAGTTTTGAGTTTAGCATGTGCAGACCCAAAATAAATAGGGGAAAAGGGAGGGGAGGGGAACCATTTTAAAATCTTGGTACATGGGTAGAACTGTATTCTTTCCCATAATTCCTCTAATTACCTGAACAGGTAAAACCTTTAGGTACAGATAAAGCCAACCTTTACCCTGGAGTTGCATTGTCTTTAAATTGAAATTGTGGTGATTGAGTGGTGTCTCATATGGATCCCTGGAAGTTCCTTTAGTCTTTCGCTGAT